ATATAAATAATTCAAAAAAACATGAGATTCTTTCTTAAGCTTTTTTATCTAAAATATTTTTGTAATTTATTCTTAAATAAATTAATTATTTTCCTAAATTTTTATATTTATATATTTTGAATGAATAATAAATATAGATAGAAGGCCAATTTAGATATTAGTTTCAATTAAAAAAATATTATTTTTATAATAAAAAAATATATTATAATAATTAATATAATTTCTTCTAAGATTTATTAAGATTTTATTTTTATGAATTTTTTTCAAATAAATCTCTTGTATTTCGTAAACTCTTCTAAATTCTATAAATATTTAAATAATCAAATAGAATCTCTAATCTTAATATTCTTGTATTTAAATAATTTAAAATCATATTTTTAATAATTCTATCAATTAAAATTTATTAATACAACTTACATATGTATCAATTCTAAACACCAAAATCTATTCTCTATTGATTTTGGAATTGCTATCATGCTTGTTATATTTGGAATAGAATAACCTTTCTTATGTATAAATTATAATTTGACTTATAAAATTAAAATCCTTAGAAATCTTTTCTTTTACAATAATTTTTTTATTTTATAATTGTTTTATTGGATTCCAATGATTTTACAAGATTTAATCTTTATTGAAAGATCTTTGCTTGTAGACTATTTGAATTAAAATAAAAATAAATAAAAATCTTCAAAAATGAAGTATAGAACACACTTCAAACTAAAAACATTTTTTTAAAGATGTGAATGTAAAATTCACTTGTCAAATCTTAATTGGTAGTATAAAATGGAAATAGTAAGAAAAAGAACAAGAATAAAAGAAGCAAAATATAAAAACAAGTAAAACAAGTACAATCAAGTAATTGTACACTAGAAAACTAGTCATGGTCTATTCACTGAGTTTTCATCCAATAAAAAATAAAAAGTAAAAGTAAAAATATATATTTTTAGAAAGGTAATTTTTTATCTTTTCAATGGTATAAAGAATATGTAAATCCGAGTTACTATGAATAAGTTATGAAGATTTAAAAATAAAAAGTAAATTAATTAATTAATTAATTAATTAATTAAGTAAATAATTTTTACTTCAAGGATAACTTGCTTAAAAGATCAAGAATTCGAGCTTCACTAAGGCTTACAAGTAGTGTATATGGATCTCTAAGAGAAGCCACGAGGTCTTATTCTTATTTTCCTAACTACCTTCAAGGTGCTACAACCTATATGGAACTTGCGCACCTCCTTTCTTACAAAGACTATATTAGCTGTTAGTCCTCCTATTTTTTACTAGTAAAACCAATAATTTTGTATTTTTAATTTTACCATGGCATTTAAAAATACCCAATTAGCCTAGAAACCTTGTGTGGCCTTCAAATCTTACTCCATTTCTCCATAATGGCTTCCAAAGTGGTAAAAAATCATTTTTACTAGTCTTAGAAATTGCTCTAAAAATTCTTTAATTTTTTAAATAGATTCAAAAAATTCCTATAATATTTTTATAATATTAAAATTATTTTAAAGCTATATTTTCATACTTTTATAATTTTTTATAGTAATAAAATCAATTTAAATCTACTATAAATCCTACTTTCTATGTAAATAATTAAAAAGACATGAGGTTCTTTTTCATGCTTCTTCTTATTACTAATTAACATTTAATGTTTTTTTTTCATAAGTAATATGTATAGATAGAAGGAAAATATAAATATTGACCTTAGTAAATATCCTTCAATATTTAATAATAAGTAAAAAATATTGAATCAACTAAAATAATTGCCGCTAAGACTTATCAAGACTCCAATTCTACAACTAGCATTCTAATTTTTTATTTGTCTAAAGATTTCTATAATATTTACCATATATTATGATTTTAAGCAATCTAAATTCATCTTTTTATCCTAAAATAATTAATGAATCAATTTGATGACTCACAAAAGGTCTTATTAAATATGAAAAAAAATTGTTAAAAATTTGGAAACAAGAAATTAATTTAGTTTTGTCACAAGGTTCAAAGTATTACTACAAATATTAATATAATGCTTTCTATGTTAGAAAATATGAGGTATATATTGTTATAAGATGGAAGTATCTTAATATAAAATACATATGAGTTCACTATTCAACCATCAAAGATTTAAGAGAACTTACCATTTGAAATCAACCTCAGATTTTAGTTCTTATAGTACAAGTCCGTGGTCTATTGAAATAGACTTTCTAGAGTAAACACATTAACAATTAGCTTTGCTGCCTAGTTTGAATTGACATATCAACACTTGTCTTGTTAGGTCGCGATAATTATATGTTGACTATGGACTAATATGATAGCTATGAGGTGTCAACCAGTAATGCAGTTTCAACCATCTACATAAATAATCACTTAATGTCTAATAGGAATTACAAATGTAAGTAAACATTCTTTTAATACTCTAAACTAAATAGACAACATATATTGAATAATTCACAAAATAAGTTATATAATGTATGTGAGCTACATTTAAAAAATTAACCTTTAACTTTATATTTTATAAAATTTATAAACCTAAAAAAATAAAATCTCTTTTATTAAAATAATTTTTTATGATTAAATAGGTATTTAATAAAAAATATGAATAAATTTTATTTTTAAAATCAATTTGTATCACTTAAATTTTATATATTTACAATGTTTAATAAAAAAAATTTCAAACAAGAGTATATATATATATATATATATATATATAATTTTAAAATAATTATTAATTATATATATGTATATCAATTATTTTTAAAATAATTAAAATAAATATAAATATAAAATATGCATAATATATTTTTTCTATAAAAAAAAATAAACCCTTAATAAAAAGAACCAAATTCAATAGCAACTACATCTAAAATTATTGAGTACATTGTTTAATATACAAAGATAAAATATACAAAGGTAAAATATATCTTTAGAGTAAAATTAAGTATTCAACTACATAAATCACAACAAAAATCTTTTAATAATTAAAAAGACATATAAATAAAAAAAATAAAAAAAATAAAAAATGTGATGAGAAGGATTTTATAAGTCTTTTAATAGGCTACACTTAATTAACTTATTGTTGTAATTCTTTTATAATTCTTTATTAAAATTTAATTATTTTAATAATAAATATTTATTTGTAGTAGAAATTTACAATAAATATCATGTGATTAAAAATCTAAAATATCTACTTATCTTTAATATATATATATATATATATATATATATATTCACATATATTTTTATACTATGAATAAACATAATTATTTTTATTTTTATTGTATATACACATGTATGGTTATAACAAAAGTTTATGTTTAATAATTATGTTTCTACAATTATTATGAGTTTTTTTAGATTATAATAACCTACAAGCTACCTAATTACAACTTATCAAAATTTATTTTTTATTTTCTGAAAATAAATTGATTAAAATACACCATGAAATTTTATAAATAACACATTGAAGTTAAAACTATATTTTATTTGCATAGCTTTTTATATTTTTTGTTTTTTTAATAAGTATTATATTTATTACACTGATAATAAAATTGAATTAACATTTTATACATAACATATAATTTTTATTAACAACAATTACATATATTATTTTAGTTTTGTGTTATTCTTTAAATTTTACTATTTAAAAAAAAAATTTAAAGTATTCCTGTAGAATTGTTCAAAATCAATTTACATACATTCATTTAAGAAGGGAGAAAGAAGATCAAAGAAGAAATACAACTTTTTTGGATAGTAAGAAACTAGAAAGATTATTACTGGGCACAATGAGACTGAAATGTTTTAAACCAAGAATAAAAAGAGGTGATGACAAAATCAAAGAATGCCACAATTTTGAATATATATCAACTAAAGAAAACACCATGTAGAAGCTTTTTTAATGGTCTTAGTACTTAAAACATAGTAATAAAAATTACTGATTGATTTAATATATTCTCCAATATACAACCAAACAATAATACTTATCTAATACTTGATATACAAGCATTGTTAAGTAAATAAGTGTAGAGGTAGCAATTGAGGTATTGCAGACATAACAACATTGAAACTACAACAGTATGGAAATTGAAGTTGTGTTTTTTTTTTTTTTTTTTTTTTTTTTTTTTAATTATGTTTTACTATAAAATAATTGGAGGAACTTGAATTCAAATTCCCAATAACAAACATTGCTGCAATATTGATTTTTCTAGTATTTAATAATGACTCTTTATTTGTGTATATATATACATACAACTTATTCAGAACAATCTTCACAACTGTTTCAAACACATCATACATCTCCATAATGTACAATAATTTCTAATAAAATTATAATAAAATTTTATATTTTTTGATTTTATTAGAGTTTCTCATAATTTCTTATAATTTCTAAGGATAATCAATAATTTCTTATAATGTCTAAGGATAATGTACAATAATTTCTAATAATGTACAATAAGAAGATCAAAGAATAATTTCTTATAATGTACAATAATTTGTATGTACATGTATATATATAATTTCAAAAAAAAATAATAGTTTTAGCGTTGTTTTGAAAAATAAATATAAATTAGAATTTCAATTAGAAATTCAATCAAGCTTCAGTTATTGAAATAAGTTTTAGACAATTGTAAGAATGACCAATCAACTCCACGCAATCTGATAATTCTTCAAAATGTAATATCTTTGTATTTTAAAATAAACGAATTACCAAATCTTATTAAAAAGAAAAGGAAAAAAAGGAAAAAACTAATTACCATCATTTCCAAGGAATGCCAAACCAACATCTTTCACATTAGAAATTTTGACAACACAGTTCTTTTCTGCACACTTAATGTTATCCATATCTCAAGAGAGTGAAGAAGAGTATCACAACTTCCGAAATATTGAGTACAAGTACTAAAAAAATTCATTGTCCTTGTCTAGAATAAAGCGTCATTCTTATGTGAGTTGCATTGTAAATGTACCCAAAAAGTGGACGAAGACATCACATGAAAGAGGACAATCGAAAGAGGATTGGGGAGAGTCCTCCGCCACACCGATGCGTTATTGACCATTACAATTAGTATTTTTCCTGTCGGCACGAAATTAGGGTTTTCAGCACAAGCGTATGAGTGGATGACCGAGTCATCCTCGCGTTGGCGTCTGGATAATTCCGAATTTTCGCTAGCATCGATGTTGCGATTGCGCCGCTGTTTCATGTACTCCTGTTTACGTGTCTGTACAGTTAACAAAATGTACAAACCCTAAAACTGTACAGACTTTTTATTCATGGCTCATCGAAAAGTCGGTAATACCGTTCTTTTTAAGTTTCGATTATGAACACTTTACTGCAATTGCAGAGGTGGGCGTACTTGAAATTGTGGGTACGGGGAGAAATAGGTGGTGGATTCATCGGGAGCTGTGTGGGTTGAAGTTTCCTCCGAATTTGACATCATGAAGGATGAAGGCCAGTACTGAGCATCAGAATGTAGGGTCTAGAACTTTTGTGCATGTTGGCAATCGTAGCTTGTGGAAGATGGAGCAGTTCAAATTCAGTTTTTTGTGACGATCACGTAGGGAGGCAGTTCTGAAGAGGAGTCGAATAAGACTTGCAGCTTTGTGTGCGTTTGCATTTTGAGCTGAGAGAAGTGAGTAATGTTGCGCTGAAGCTGTTTTTGAAGAGAGACTCGGACATTCTTGGTGAGCCAGGCTGTTTTACAAACACCATCCTTCGCTTCAATGTCGCAGTAGAAGTCTGTGTAGTTCAATTCACTGGCTTTTGTAAAGACTATATCTTGAATTTGCTATGTTGCAATTGTAAGATTCATTGATTATATTTTATAGAACGCGGTTGACTTTACAGGCTCTACGGGGCGGAGTGAGTATTGGTTTCCTGAATCTCAGAGACGGCTTTGCGGCAGGCTGCACAATCTGGTCATTCTAGAAATTTTGTTTGAAAAGCAAGCAGTCTAGGAATCTTCGGCCTCCCCCACGAGAGAATCTAGGTCCATTAACGACATTCCGACCATGGATTCACAGAACGACTTCCAAACAATCTTCAACTCTCTCCCAGAATTAGACCCCGACTTTTCTCTGCCAGAGTTATCTGTGACCATTCTGACGAGGCGAGATCATTGGAAGGTTTACTGTATTTTGTACCGGCTTCGCAAGGTAAAATTATTGAAACTTAACAAAGTAGGACAACCCTGACCTCCTTGTCGAATTCCACGACGTAATTCCGGAACTCGTCAATATGATGTGTTTTAACATTAACTTGTAGATGATTTTTTTTTTGTTTTGTTTTGTTTTGCTTTTTTTTTTTTTTTTTTTTTTTTTTTTCATTTTTCACAGAAACTTCGAAGTTCTGTTAAAAAGAAAAAGAAATAGAATAAAAAATGATGTAATGGTTGAACATCTTATTGAATTGGGGTCGTATTGCATGGTTGACGTGCACAAATGATCATGCTATTCATCTAACGTCGCCAACATGCATTTCAGGCCTGCAAGGTCTCCAAAGGAGTGATAAGAAGGCCGAATGGCAGGTTTTCTTGCGAGATCAGAATAGCGAAGGAAATGGTCACCGATGAGAGCTATCGGAAAGGCAAAGTATGGCTTGGGACCTTCCGGACCAGATTTCAAGCAGCAAGAGCCCTGGATGTGGGAAAGCTTTTCTTCAGCAGAAAGAAACGAAAGAATTACCATAATCCAGAGACTGAAGCAAAATTGTTGATTTTTAAGGAGAACCCTGGTGTGGAGACAATGAAGGAAATGGTTGAATATGTGCAAGAACTTGCAAAGCTCTACGGGGAGAACGGGACAGTACCACCCTCAGACTGGCGTATTAAACGTGTGCCACGGCGAAGTCGTCAAAAAAAACCGCGCCTTTCAAACTGTCCATGATCCCTTACTATGACCTCACTACAACTCCATTTTGTCTATATTTTCCCTCTACTGTTTTTATCCAAGGACAAACTTCAAGTCTTTTCTGCGAAGTTGTAGAGTATGGAATAGTACCCTTTTTGCTCTGGAAACATACGTTTACAAAGTAAGGTTTATGAAAAAAAAGAGAAAAAAGAGAAAAAAAAAAGAGGAAAAAACGTAAAAAGAAAAGTCAACACAATAGCAACGATGAAAGCATTATAGAATGAAGGATAATACTCTCGGCTAAAATTCCTTAGGGCTTGAATGTATTTGTGTAGGGCCGACTTCATTCAGTCTAGCTTCGATTCAGACTTTCTGTACCATACTATTATAATAACGGCGCTGTTTCAGTTGTGGTTGTGTTGTAACTCGTGTCCATGCTCACATTCAAATCTGAAGCATCTTCCTGGACATGTGAATCCATGTGGCTAGCCGAAATCTGGAAATGATGTCTCACAATCCCGTTGGTGGCGTCACAATTTGACAATTGCATAGGGATTTGTAAGTCGGCAGTAATCATTAATTTGTCGAACCACGTGATGTGCTCAATAGTGTTGATGAAAATATCAGCACAGTCGATTTCGCCATGTTGAAGTGGCATTGTTTTCTTTAGGCATTCAATTACACTTGAATATGTTACAATGTCACCATTTTCCCCTACGGCGCCAACATTACTCAACGGATAATCTTGGACCATTGATGACAAGACAAAGTAATCTGCATATTAGCATTGCTTGTAACTAAATGATATTCACAAAACTTCTATGTGATTATTGCTACCTCACTTGCTTAGAAGTGTGTTCAAGTCCATGGAAGTAATGTCTTGATTCTCGCCACACAATTAACTTCCCAAACACTACCAAAGTCACCCATTCGAGTGGGAAAAGATACCGCTTCGTTGTTTGATACTTAGCCTGAGGTATGATATTCTCCATCCAAAAAGGAACAAAAAAAATCTTGAAAAGAAACTAAAGAAGCTAAACAGCACAACTATCTCTCTAGAAAAACAACATTTAATTTTTCTTTTGTCTCGAGGTATTCTATAACTTTTTAGAGCCATATCTTCCTTGATATCGCTTCAAGTAACACAAGATCTTTTATTTTTTAATTTTTTTATTGTGTGTATTTTGTTTGATTTGTTTTGTTTTTTTTGTTTTGGGAATACCGACAAAGTGATTCTTTCTTGAGCAGCTCTTCGAGAAATCATCACCATGCGGTGCTCAAGTGTGGTCATTCCGTGCAGATTCTCCCTCAGTATTGTGTCACATGCTACAACGATTTCAATCTACAAGACACGAGAAGAAACTTAGCCTCAATTGACGAAGCCAGCTCCAAAAGGTAATCATCTTGTTCATGCTTCAGCAGGGTAAGCAACAATAAAGGTCGCAGCCCTTGAACAGAAAGTTCACCAGTCTGTGCACCATCGAGTTGATGGTCCTTGAGCTGCATTCTGTGTTTTCGCTTCATGAACATGAACTTCTAGCCGTCGAAAGGAGCGGAGTCGCAACAGTGGAACTTGATTCTCTGTCAAATTATGAACAATGTCTAATCGTTGTTGTCACCGTGTTAACTTTCTCCAAATCGACGTCATGACTGTTACCGTGACAAGACCCGACCTCTGAATGTGAGAGTGTACATGCAGAGGAACCCAACCAAAAATCCACAAGGGAGCTCCTCCTCTTCACTGGTGGACCTTTCTTGCTGTTCCTACACTCTCCTAGATAGGTAGGAAGAGGAAGACATGTGCATTCGTCTACCTGAGCGAGACACGTTTTGCTTACGTATCAAGACAATGTCAGGACCAGCTGCTGCATCGAGACTCCTACGTAAATCTTCACTGATCTCCGAGCAATTTTTTGCCACCGTCTGGAAAGTTGCAGATACCCCTCTCACCACCAGTGAGATACGCCACACACTTCTTCTCTGCAATCAGCTCATCCTCGCTCTTCTTAATGCGCTCGTACAAGTAGTCATCCACCTCGCACTCGGTGACCAGCTCCCAGTTTCCGTCACCGGTGGAGCGGCACGGCATGCTGAAGATAAGATCGTCGGCGATTCCGTAAGGGTTTCCGTTCGAGTACACGCCTGATGAGAACCAATCTCCTTCTGAGGTGGGATTGATGAGCGACTTGATCGCATCTGCTATCGACACGGCGGTCGAGGCGGCGGATGATAGACCTCATTTCTGAAGGAGTGCCCCTCCTCGCCTCTGCACTCTGGGAGTGAACTCCTTCTTGAGCCACCTCTAGTCCTGGATCACGCCCACCGCCCTCGCTTCATGGATTCTAGCTTTCAAGAAGTCGGGGACCTGTGTGGTGGAGTGATTGCCCCAGATTGTAACGTTGGAGACGTCGTCGTCGTAGAAGACACCGGATTTGAGAGCTAACTGACACTTGGCTCGATTCTCGTCCAGTCTGGTCAAAGCATGGAAATTCAAGGGGTTCAGGCGAGGCGCGTTTTTCAGCTCGATCAGAGCATTTGTGTTGCACGGGTTTCCTACTACCAGAACCTTCACATCAGGGCTCTAAACTTTGTTCAACTCTTTGCCCTACTCCGCTAAGATTTTCCCATTCATGTCAAGCAAGTCAGCTTGCTCCATTCCCTGGACCAGATGCTTCGAGCTGATGAGTAGTATGGAGACAAGAATGAAGCCGAATATAGATGAATGGGGATGGATGATGAAAATCTCTATTCCTATTGATCAAAAATCATGACCAATGGGCTTTGAGGAGGCTTCCCAAGGCCATATTAGAGATTAGGATTAGTTTTTTGGAGCCATTTGAGCTTTGAAGGCTATTGTCAGTAAGTTTAGGTTTTGGCTATGGTTTTGGTGCAAGTTTTGTATGATTTAAAGTTTATATGAAGGAGATATAGGGGCTCAAAGTTAAGGTGTTGATTTGGAAGCTACTGTCACTCTTTTTGGTATAACGCACGCGTACAAATAGCAATTGAGGATCGGCAACTGCTACTAGAGAGATCACTTTTGCGGCTATACTTTTCACATACTGCTTGTTGGATTCCAAGTTGAAATAAAGGAGTTATTGGATTTTGAAGTCAACACATGCAATCTAAGGGTAGTAAGTGACTCGATTTACTAATGGTTGTGTCTTGAGCTATATCTTGAGCAATTTGATAAGGTTTTGGCTCAAAATTTTAAGGAATGTGTAAACTCATGTTATTAAATTTTTTACATAAGTTTTATGACATTTGAGTATTGGATTATTAAGACATTAAGAAAATAGTGCTCGGATGCTTGTAAATTAGGGTTTAAAGTATCTGCTAGGGTTTCTTAGATGTCAAAAGATTGGAAGTGAATTTGCAATTGGATTTTTTTGTGATAAAAGTTAAAGGTGAATTCTACCTATTCTATAAATTTTAAACAAATTGAATATCAAGATCAAGTATTATGAATTTCTAAAGTTTGCAACAAGAAAATCCTTTGCGGGAAAAATATGTTTTGAAGAGATTTTGTTATATTTTGAATTTTATGCAAAATAAAGGAGTTTTGAAAGCTAAGACAAGATTCATATAAAGGTTTAAGCTATACTCTCTACACCTAGATACCGAGTGTATTCCCAAATAGCAAATCATGCCATACGATAGTGGATTGCCTAAAGATATTATATCAGATAAGAAGACTTAATTCATATCAAGTTTTTGGAGAAACTTTTTTAAGATTTTAAAGGTAGATATTAAGCTCTCTTTGGCTTTTCATCCTCAAATTAATAGACAAACAATAAATGTGAATCAAATTTTAGAAGAGTACTTGAGGTGTACCATCAACTATCATCAAGATAATTTAATAACTCTTTTACCATTGGCAAAGTTTGCATACAATAATTTGGTACATTCTTCCACTCAACAAACACCTTTCTTTGCTAATTATGCTTATCATCTATAATTTTATACTTTTGACTTTTTAAAAGTTAATAATCTTATAAAAAAAAATTCAATAAATCATTTGTTAGAGCTGCATGCAACAAAAATAGTATATATAAAGGGAGCCCAAAAACAACAAAAGATTAATGCAAATGCTTATTGTAAGAAACAACCATAATTTAATATAAGTAATAAAGTATGATTATTTTGTCTCAATATCAAGACTACTCATCCTTTTGATAAGTTGGATTGGTATACGTTTGGACCTTTTCCTATTAAAAAACAAGTCAATCTTGTTGCTTATCAATTATATCTACTAATGTTTTGGTAGAGAGAATTTGCCTTAAAAAAGCATTAGGCTTTTGGCTATCACTAATTATTCAACCAAGCCTCTAAATATAAGAATAAATAAATAAATAAATAAATAAAACATCAATTTTATATATAAAATTATCCTTCTAAAAAAAATTACATCAATACATAAGCCCTAAGTATCAAAGGTCACCAAAAATGTGATAAAAATATTATTAAACCTTGTAAATCTTTAACATGAATTTTTTCCAAACTTCAACAATTTATATCTCATGATCGGATCATCTTGAAAAATCAAAATTTTACATAAAGTATAAATATATTTTTAGCAACTACTACAACAAATTTTAATTATAAATTCGTCATAAATCTTGAGATATTATCAAAATCCTAAAAGTAACTTCAAACCCTTGCTTATATATACATGTGTACAACTTTTTTCATACCTCACAAATTAAGTACTCAAACACTATAAAACTTTGATATGTAGCTTTTTAACCTAATAATACATACTTCTGAAAATTTTGAGCCAAAATATCATCCGAAAACTCAAGATATGGCTCCAACTATTATTATCAACAAAATAACTCACTTATTATCTTTGAATTACATCTGCTATCTTCAATGCATACAAAATTCTTCATACAAACTCTAAAGATAGAAATTCTTTTACAATAGATATAGATCTTAAAATCACCCTTGTGGCCACATCTTTCGATCTCTAAAATCTATCAAAAAATCCCTAGTATCCTCAAAAGAGCAATAATATGTCTTAAAAAGATACCTTAACTTCAAACGGCTATAAATTCATCACTATAATACTAAATCTTCTAAAATTTATACACAAATTATAGTCCAAATTCTAAATCTTATAATCCATATTTTTTATTTTTGAATTCTTCTTTTAAAGTTTCCAAAATCCTTATTATGGTCACAGATAGTTTACTGAATGCATATTAGGCATGGCCTTTGACTAGTAAGGATGAAGATTTTTACCTTTTGTCTTCATTGATCCATACCTTGCTTTCATCCCTCCAAATAAGTTTTTTAGAGATTTAGATCTTCATCTATGAGCTCCAATCTTTTCTTTAAGTTTAATACTAAATATCTAAATCTTATATAATTTAAATACTTTTATCAATATAAATAAACCTCAAAATGTAAAAAAAAATATTTT